CAGGAGGATCATTGCGAGTTCGAGGCTAGCCTGAACTGCATAGAGAGACCCTGTCTCACAAAGACAAAAAAATAAAATAAAATAAAATTAAAAAATAAAAAATCCTGTTACCCCATTATTGGGATTCAAGAAGACCTTGAGAATACCGAAGGGGTAGAAAGAGATAATCACAGAAAACTTCCCAAAACCTAGAGAGGGATACAAATATCCAGGTACAGGAAGGTCAAAAGTCACCAGTTAGATTTAACTTAAGCAAGTCTACCCCAAGATATACTATAATCAAGTTTTCAACGGTGAAAGATAAAGAGAAGAGTCTCAAGACTGCAAGAGGAAAGAAATAAGCATGTCCCAATTTCCTCAACGGCAGACTTCGCAACAGAAATCTGACAGGCCAAGAGAGTCATAATAAAGGTAGAAACCAAATTTCAAAATGGCTACAAGACCATACTAATAGATAATCACACTAATTATAAATTAATTAAATTCTCCAATTAAAAGATAGAATGACCGAATGGATTTAAAAAGACCCAAAAAATCTGCAAGCCGGGGGTATAGCTCAGCGGCACAAGCACCTGCCTTGCAAGCAGAAGATCCTGCTTATAAGAAACTCACATCAGGCCGGTGTGATGGCACACACCTGTAATTCTAGCACTCGGGAGGCTGAGGCAGGAGGATCATTGCGAGTTTGAGGCCAGCCTGGGCTATAGAGTGAGCTCAAGGCCAGCCTGAACTGCATACAGACCCTGTTTCAAAAAAGACAAAAAAAAAAACAACTCACATCAGGCCAGGGATATAGCTCAGCAGCACAAGCACCTGCCTGGCAAGCACAAGGTCCTGAGTTCAATTTCCAGTACAAAAAAAAAAACCCTCACTGTTAAGAATACATGCAAAATAAAAGTGAAGGTATAGATTAGATATTCCATGCAAATGGAGCCCAAAAGATGCAGGAGTAGCCATACTTATATTAGGTAAAACAGACTTTGAAGGCACAAAGAGAAACAAAAAAAGATATTATATAGTGACAAAAACGTCAAGTCAGCAAAAAGAAATAACAATTCTAAATATATATATGCAATCAATATCAGAGCACCTAAATATACAAATTGAAAATTAATAGATCTAATAGGAGAGACAGATTCCAATACAGTAATAGTAGAGAACTTTTAACATACACTTTTATCAATGGACAGATCATCCAGACACAAAATCAACAAAGAACAGAGTGAAACTGTACCTTAGGGACCTGACAGACATCTACAGAACATTCCATCCAGCAACTGCAGAATGAATATCCTTCTCATCAGCACATGGAAATAGGTCATCAAACCAGTTTCAAGAAAAAAAAGAACTGTGTGTGGTGCTCAGACCCAGGGGCTTGTGCAAGCTAAGCATCCACTCTACTACTCATTTATATCTCTAGCCCACAAGTATTTTTAAAATTGAAATCATACGAAGTATCTCTGTCTAAATACAATGCAATAAAACTAGAAATCAATAATCAGAAAAATTTTGCAACTATAAAAATACATAGAAATCAGACAACTTTTCTACAAACAACCAATGAATCAAGAAAGAACTCAAAAAGAAAGTTAAAAATGTCTTGGAACAACTGAAAAGGGGGACACAATGCACTAAAACCTCTGGGACACAGCAAACACAGGACTATGAGGAAATTTTACACCAGAGAAGGATATAAATATCCAGGTACAGGAAGGTCAAAAATAGATTCCAATATAGTAATAGTAGGGAACTATTACTATAGTTCACCAATCCATCCCTACATCAAACAAGTAGAGAGGTCTCAAACAATCAGTGAAGTTCAAGGAGCTGAAGAAAAACAAGAATAAACCAAGCCCCAAACTTGCAGGAGGAAAAAAAATGATCATCAGAACAGAAATAAATGGAATAGAGACTCAAAAATATATAAAAGATCAACAGAACCAAATGATGGCTTTTTAAAAAGATAAAGAGAACTGACAAACCCATAGCTAGACTAAGGAAAAAAGGGGAGAACAGATTCAAAATCAGAAACATGAAGAGAGACATTATAACTGATACCACGGAAATACAAAGGGTCATTACAGAGTATTACAAGAAACTATATACCAGCCAGGCATGGTGGCACACACAATAATCCCAGCACTAAGGAGGCTGAGGCAGGGGGTTCGTTGCGAGTTCGAGGCCAGCCTAGGCTACAAAGTGAGCTCAAGGCCAGCCTGAAATGCATAGCAAGACCCTCTCTCAAAAAGACAAAGAAAAAAAAAAAAAAAAAAAAAAAAGAAAACCCCAACGACTACCAAAAAAGTGTTAAAACTAATAAACTTCATGACTTCATGAAGCTGCAGAATACAAAGCTGACATACAAAAATCAGTAGCATTACTATAGACCCATAAAAAATTACCTAAAATAGAAATTATACAATCAATCCCATTCATAATAGCTACAAAAATTTTTTATTACCTAGGAAAAAATTTAACCATGGAGATAAAAGATCTCTACAATGAAAACTATAAAACCTTGATGAAAGAAGTTAAAGAGAACAGGGATGTGCTCAATAAAAGACAAACACTCTATGTCCACGGCTGGAAGAATCAATGCTGTTCACATGTCTCAAATAGGACAGACAAGTAAGTGAACTAAAAAGCTTCTGCACAAAGGAAATGAACATCAGATTGAAAAGAAAACCAAGGGGCTGGGGATTTAGCTCAGTGGCAAAGCGCCTGCCTGGCAAGCGCAAGGTCGTGAGTTCGGTTCCCGGTACCGGAGAAAAACCAAAAAAAAAAAAAGAAAAGAAAAGAAAACCAAAAGAATCAACCAACAGTGATACCAATTCTTGTCTAATTATTCCAAAAAAACGAAGAGAACAGAATTCTTCCACACATTTCCCAAAGCCAACATTACTCTGATACCAAAACAAAACAGTTCATCAACAACAAAAAAAAATCTGCAAGCCGGGGGTATAGCTCAGTGGCACAAGCACCTGCCTGGCAAGCGGAAGGTCCTGAGTTCTATTCCCAGTTCCAAAAAGAAAAAAAGAAGAATCAAAAGCAGAAAATCTGCAAACAATACATCTGACAAGGAGTTAATATCTAGAGTATATATGGAACTAAAAAAAAAAACAATTTAAAAAGGAACAATTAACCTAAATAGACATTTTTCAAAAGAAGATATACTAAAGACCAATAGGTATGTGAAAAAAGTGCTCAACGTCACTAATAATTAAGGAAGTGTAACTCCAAACCACTGTTAGATACCTGCTCACTCCAGTAAAAGTGGCTAAAATCAAAAGGACACATGATCACCAGAGCTGATAAGGATGTAGCAAAAAGGGAATGTTGGCGTACTGTTGGCGGGAAAGTAATTTAGCACAGACATCGTGGAAAACAATATTAAAGACAGAACTATGATCCAATCAGCACTCCCACTACTCCATATGTATCCAAAGGAAATGAAATCAGTGCATCAGAGACACCTGCACTCTCACGCTCACTGTTGCACAGCAGCCAGGAAAAGGAAGTAACCTCAGCATTCATCAACTGATAAATGGACACAGAAAATGCGGTACATATATGCAGTGGAATACTATTCAGCCATAAAAAAGATGGAAACCCTGTCATTTATAACAATGCAGATGAAACTAGAGATCATTATGCTAAATGAAATAAGCCAGGCACAGAAAGACAAGTACCGTACGATCTCATTCACATGTGCAATCTAAGACAGTTCAGCTTAATCGGGCGTGGTGGCGCACACCTATAATCCCAGCACTCAGGAGGCTGATGCAAGAGGATCAAATGAGTTCGAGGCCAGCCTGAACTGCATAGCAAGACCCTGTCTCAAAATAAAATCAATCTTCTCATCTAAAATAGTTCAGCTTTACAAGCTGAGAGTAGAATGGGTGGGATAGAGAGGTGGGGAAATGGATACTAGGTTATGTTTAGTAGCAGCAAGATGCTCTGGTGTGCTATTGCGTGGTAGGGTGACTGCAGGTAACTCCTGTGTTCTATGTATTTCAAAAAGCTAGACGGAAGGATTTTGAATTTTTTTCACCATAAAGCAATAAGTGTTTGAAAAGACAGATTTGAGTTGAAAATGACACAATGTGCACATGTAGCAGAATCACATGGGGGCTGGGGATTTAGCTCAGGGCTGGGGATTTAGCTCAGCGGCAAAGTGCCTGCCTGGCAAACGCAAGGTCGTGAGTTTGATTCCTGGTACCGGAAGAAAAGACAAAAAAAAACCCCAAAACCAGAATCACATGGTACCCCATTAACATGTACCACTCTCGTGCCTATGTGTCAGTTTTAAAAATTAAAGGAAAGAAATTCTAAATATAAAGCTATTTATCTTTCATACTAAATCAGTAACAGCAAGTCAGCGCTCTCTGGGAGCTATAAGCAGTTCTGGCAATTTACAAAACGTGAAGAGGTGTGCATGGGAGTCGGTTCTGTAGCCAAGTAGGGCAGAAGTGTGGAGAACCCTCGGCTTGTGACGGGCATCCGAAGTGGGGGGCATCTTGTGGGGCTGCACCCCGAACCTGGGGTTTCTTCTAGCCTGGGCAGCTGGTGTCAGAGCCGAGGGCAACCACAGGACCCCGAGGAGAATTCTGCCGAGAACCACGGAACCCCACACACTGGGCTCAGCCCTGGCTCTGATGCAAGGAAGCAGCACCCTTTGACAAGTCACCGTCCCTTCTGGGCCTGTTTCCCCATTTGTGAAACAGAGGGCACAGGACTTCAGTGATCTCGAGCACAGCAGTACAGTGTAGGTGCTGGAGCCAAAATTACAATCCCTGCACCTCAGTTTTCTTTTCTGTAAAATGGGAAGAAGGAAGGCACTTTTGTTCATGCTCGCCAGGCCCAGTGAGAGCTTGGTTGGTGCCTGGCGCCGTTTCTGTTTAACACCCTTGAGATAAAGGTTCTGGGGTCTCTTGCCAAGGACACAAGAAGGGAGACCTGCTCACCAGAGGCTCGGGATCCTCCGAAGGGCTGCTGGCCCACCACCGAGCCAGTGGACTTGTCGTTGATGTAGAAGTTGCCTGCAGCGTTTCTCAGCATCTTTGTAGCTTCCTGGACAAAGCCCCTATAAGAGGAGTCACCAGTAAGAGGGCACCCAACCTGTATGTCCTTTCTGTCCTGGGTCCAACCTCGAACGCCCTGCTCAGCTGCACCGGCTTTCCAGGTTAAGCACGGGGGCCATGCGTGGGGCAAATGACACTGGCCAGCTGCTGGCAGTGGGCCCTGGGTGGGTTACTTAGTCCCTGGGGAGTTACAGAGTCTCTCAGGGGAGAGGCTGCCACATTTCTACCACACGCCCACTCTGAGGTCAGAAAGGGCAGACGGGGTCAGGCGCCTCACTTCTGCTCTGCAGCATGGGGGCGCCACCTGGCTCACTGGGGCTCCATTGGCTCTGGGGGAGCTGCTCAAAAGCTCCCTAGCCCAGTAGCCTGTACTTCTAATCAAGAGCCCAGGGCTATGTGCACCTTGCTGGGCCACCTGCCTGCCTGTCCAGGCTGAAGGGGAACCGAGAGAAAAGAGAAAGAGGGGGCATCCATATCAGGAACCATCCCCGGGAGAAGAGGACAGGCTGGGAACAGAGATAGGCCATAGGGATGAAGGCTGTGGGGCTGGGGCCCACTCACTTATCCTGGGCGAACACTGCCCCCGTGAGGCCATAGCTGGTGGTGCTGTCGACAAGCTGCAGCGTCTCCCTGTACCTGTCGTCTGGGTAGACATAGACGGTGAGCACAGGCCCGAAGATCTCCTAAGAGAAGCAATGCTCAGCGTCCCCAAGTCCCCACTCTGCTTCCCTCTCCCCATCCTGGGGCCTCTGTCCACACCTCAGCCAGGGGCTGCTTCCTCCGGGGTTCCCCGGGAACAGCGGGATACATGGCTTCCTGCCCTGCCCACTCCCACCTGGCAGAAGATCCAGCATGCCCTGGCCTCCTTGCCGAACCCGGCCCTGGAGAGGAAACGGGCCGGGGCCTTGGAGACAGGAGGCTCCTGGCAACAGCTGGTGCCGGAATTGCCTCCTCACGGTCCCCTCTGCCCTCAAGGGCCAGGGAAAGAATCCAGCCCCGCATTTATGTGCTGGGCAAGTGCCTCAGCCTCTCAGAGCCTCAGTCTCCATCAAATTGGAGTGGTAACACCACCTGGTCTCAGCCGATGCCAGCTGCGGCCGGCCCACAGGGGGAAAGCTGCCACCATTGCTACCGCAATCAGTTGCCACAGTTGCTGGTGTGGCCGTGCGTGGCCATGAGTAGCAGGGCTAGGACCCGGGCGGGGCCGGCAGTGACAAGGACAGAGCACAGGATTTAGATAGGGAGGCTGGGGCTGAAGTCCTGGCGCGGCTCTGCCCCGGTGTGAAAGGTTCCCTTCAGGACCTGTCTCTCCTCTGTGAAATGGAGCAGCGGAGAGGCAAACACCTCCCTGTGCCCTGCGTGTGCTGCTCTCGAGAGGGTCCTGGCCCGGGCCCCGGCAGCCAGCCCTGGTTACCTCCTTCATGATGGGCTCCCGAGGGTCCTTGCTCTCCACGATGCAGGGCTCCACGTAGTAGCCCACGGAGTCGTCGCACTTGCCCCCGGCCAGGATGCTGAGGCTGGGTGAGGAGCGCGCGTGCTCCAGCCACTTCTTGATGCGTGCGAAGGACTGCAGCGGGTGGCGAGTGTCAGACAGGCTGGGGGCTCCCCGCAGCAGCCTCCTCCACCCCCAAACCCCCAAACATCTGTGCCCAAGGGGCCGGTGTTCTGGAACAGGGGCAGAGCGGTGGGGGAGGGCTGGCTCCGGCTGAGCCACGGCAGAGACGGGGATGGACCTACGAGGATGGACCTGCGTCTGGGTGTATGTGCGCGCGTGCGTGTGTGAATGCAGGGTAGAACGACAGAGGTCACTTGTAAACACACAGGTAACTGTGTAGGTCTATGTATGCTACACAGATCTGCATGGCCGCGCTCAGGGATATGCACACACGTGTGCATGTGTACTTAGGTGCATGTGAGCACACGGGTGGGCCTGCCTATGCACCCGTGCAGGGAGGTGTACGCCTGGCTCCTGAGCTGCCTTGCTCAGAGCAGCAGGGTTGAGTGCCTCCCTGCAAGTCAGAGCCCCTGGAATGTCTTCCTCCTCCCGACCCTGGGCTTAGCGCCCCCAGGAACGCCCTGCTTCCTGCCCATACCTTGGCATCAATCACGGCGGAGAAGAAGGTCCCGAAATCCTCCGTGGGCTGCAGGCAAGGGAGGGAGAACCCAGGCGAGGTGAGCTGCTGCGGCCGGAGGGAGGGAGGGAGCCCCCGCCACACGCCTGCCCCCACGCGTCCTCCCACGTCCCTCCCCCCTGCACTCTGACAGCCCAGCCCCAATCCCATCAGCCACCCGCTGGGCCGCTCACATCGCCCACTTTGATCCTGCTGTGCTCCTCCAGCAGCCGCCCTTTGATCTGCGGCCACAGCGAGCTGGGCACGTAGAGGCGCGAGCAGGCGGAGCACTTCTGGCCACCGTACTCGAAGGCCGAGCGGAGCGTCCCGCTCACCACGCTGTCCACGTCGGCCGAGTGGTGCACGAAGTGGAAGTTCTTCCCGCCGCACTCTGCGGGGAACGGGACAGGAACGAATGACCGGGGGCTCCCCCCGCCCCCCGCTCGCCGCCCGGCTGCACCGCAGCCCAAGCCACTGCCCGCACCGCCCATGGCGCCCCGGGTCTGGTGCCAGCTTCACAGATCACAGATAAGGAAACGGAAGCCAGGAAGGGTGAGGGGCGTCAGAGGTCATCAGCGGCAGGCCACCACACCCTTCTGCTTGGCTTCGTGGCTCAGTGGAACACCAGCTAACACCACTCGCCACCTGCCCGGCTTCCTAAGAAGTGTTTTATGCCACGACCCCCTGCGGCCTCACAGCTAGAGCTGCCGTTACTCCTGTTCCACAGACAAGAAAACTGAGGCAGAAAGACGAAGCCACACACCCCAGGCCAGGTGGTGTAACTTCCTCCCGGGAGGCCGAGGGAAGGAGGCCCTGGGAACAGAAACCTGAGTCCCTCACTCCGGGGGCTCCCGGTTAACCTCACAAGGCTTGGACGGTGCCGGGAGAGACTGGAAGCTGGAGAAGCTGCGGCTGACCCTGTGCCCTCTCCCTCCGACACCCCATAAGCCTCCAATCCCAGCTCGGCTGCCAATGTGCCGTGTGACCCGGGCGGCCCTTCCCTCTAGGTCTCAGCACTTTCCCGAAGAGTGTCCCACACGTGGCTTGCGGGCATCTACCACAATCAAAGACACCACGGTCCCTCGGTCACAAGCAGCGAGGGTACTGGAGAGGCAGATGCACAACGCTCCATCACTGCAGAAAGTGCTACCAGGCAGCGCGGGGACCCAGGACCCTCCCCCCTCTTGGCTGGAGGCACCCTCACCTCCAGCTCCTCTTCTCGTTCCTAGAACCGGAGGATGGGGGGTGGGCGCTCTTACCTCCAGCCAGGCGCGGGAAGGTACGGAACCGGTCCAGGTTCTGCGCCACCTGCTTCCACAGGTGTTTGAAGGTGCTGCAACCACAGGACAAGGAGGGGTGAGGAGCTGGGCTCGGCCATGGTGGGGTGAGGGTCGCGGGGTGGGGAACAGGCCCCACAGAGGAAGGCGCTGAGAAGTCAGGGGAGGGGTAGAAGTCTGCAGCCCAGCAGGGGGTGAGCAGGGGTCACAGGGGTGGAGGGGGACCGGGTAGTAGGGGTAGCTAGGAGGCAAGTTGGTGCCAAGAAGGTCGAGGCTTTGAAACCTGAAAGTGCTGGATTCTGTCCTGACTCTGATATGCAGGGCTGTGTGACCTTAGCCTCATTACTTAACCTCTCTGAGCCTCAAATTCTGAACTTCACCTAGGACTTGGAGAACAAGCCCAATGAGGCAGGGCTGTGCTGTGTGGGCTCCAACGTGAGTCCAGAGCCGAGGCTATGTGGGGCACACTCGGGGTGCCTGACAGGGAAAACACACTACCAGGTACAGGGACAACCCTGGCCCCACCGCCCAGGCACCCGGGCCCAAGAGGCCAAACTGAGGAGCATCCCGGGCGAGCGCGCTTCAGCCCCAGCCCCAAGCTGCTGCCTCCTCATCAGGCTCCCACTGTGACCGACCTCAGCCCCGCAAAACAATAAAAATGCTAATCACCCCGGAGCCCATGACACAGCAGCTAATACTAATTTATGACTTTCCTACCTTTACGCCACCACCACCGCTCAGCAGAGCGTGGAAGCGGGGACCAGGCCCGCTCCGCCCGCTGATAGGCAGGCACTCGGGGCCAGGGGCTGGAAAACAGCCCTCCTCAGCGATTCTCACGGCAACCCGAGGGGCGGGAGGGGGTGGGGGGCCTGAGGCCGAGAGAGGGCGTGAGAAGCAGCCACTGAAGGTGTCCCAGCAGAACCAGAAGGACCCAAGCTGCACACCTGCACACCTGCACGCCTGCAGCCACACTCTTCTTCCTCCAAGCTGGCTCACCCGGTACCCGCCTGGGAGCAATGCCCCGTCCGCCCCCAGCCTGGGCACTTGTTCTCACCTGTCCTTCCCCACCCCGGCCTGTGAACAGGCGCTGGCCACGCACCTCCCTGCCATGTTCACCAGCTCTGCCCGCTGCATCCCTGCTGTCCCATCCCTGGATCGGGGCCACCGTCTCTCGTGGGGTGCCCACGCCTCCCGCTTCCTGCCGCAGAGCGCCCCCCGAGAGTGACCATCTAGGACAAAGGTGCCAAGGCGGAGGCCTGCAGGTGCCAGGCAGGGAAAGCCATCATCAGCCCATGGTGCCAAGCGAAAGTGCAGGCCTGGGGGCACCGGAGCATCTGGGTTCTCGGAGGAGCCAGCATTGGGATCTTTATATGAAATCGCTCCAGTGACACAAGGTTGGGCCATCACTATTGAAACCCAAAGAAACGAGATAGAGCCACTGCCAGGTGCAACCTAAAGACCATTATCTGCAAACTTGGCTGGAGATTCGACTCTGCTTACGCCACCCCTGCTGTCTAAAACATTCTGTGGCTCCCGTCAACTTCAGAATAAAGTCCAGGGCCACTGGAGAGGTGGGACGGACAGCAAGGACCTTGCCCTCGGTGCTCACTCACTTCCAGTGTCAGCAGGAGCCCAGGGCCGCACACAACCGGGGTCGGGGGGGACAGTGGAGACCATGCCTGCCTCCGCCTCATCTCCCTGCTCCCCGCCATCACCCTCCCGTCCTGTGGCCCCAGAACTCCACGCTCCAGCCACACGGACAGGGACAAGAGACACCACGGAAGTCATCCGTGCGCTTTGCCCTCTGGCCCTTCCGTCTCCCAGAATACCTCCCCCCTCCCCGCGGCCTGGTGAACTTAGACACTGAGACACCGCCTCCTCCAAGAAGCCTACCTGACTCCTCCTCCAATTCCGATCCCCCAGTGACAGCGAAATCAAGACGCCCCAAAACCAGAGGCTGCTTCCAGCCAGCACAGCTCCCCATTTGATCTTTACAAACACCAGGTAAGGTAGAGATCACTGTTCCCACTGGACAGGTGGGGAAAGGAGGCTCGGAGAGGTGGGGTGGCAGGCCCCTGGCCACACAGCGAGAGGTGGGCATGGCCAGCATGTGGCATCTGGGTACAGCCTGAACCCTGGGCAGATGGCAGGAGACAGGGCGGCTGCCAGTGAACTTCCCCTCCGTGGCCACCACGCCCTACACCCAGGACTTACGGCACGCTGCCTGTGAAGTTGATGCCGCAGAGGTGCTCCGAACTGGTGACGGTGTCCCCAAATACGGGCCCATCAGCTGGTACGAACTGGATGATGTTGGGGGGCAGGCCAGCCTCCCGGAGGACGCGGTACACAGTGTAGCTGGCCAGCATGGCGGTGTCACTGGGCTTCCACAGGACCACGTTGCCCTGGAAGTGTGGCCATGATTCACACAGCTGGGAGCCTCTGGCCCTGACCCCCAGCCCCCAACAGCATGGTCATCCCTCACCGAGCCAGGATGTCCCCCACCTAGCCCTGCTCTGCAAGGGTCTATGCTGTGCTCCAGAAGCCCCAGTCCCTGCTTGGCCAGGGCTCCCCTCCTCCACAGCCTGCGTCCACTCATCCTGCCCTGGCCCCCAGGCAGATCTGTTCTCTGCGGCTCCAGGCGCTACCTGGGTATGGCTGCTGGCAGGCTCTCTCCAGGTGTCCAGGGTCAGTGCACCTCAGGCACACAAGGACCTGTGTGTGCACCCTGCAGACCCAAATGCCGAGGATCTGCAAACACCCTGCATGCACGCACGGCGCACACATGCATGAGCTTCAGCATCCGGCTGCCTGCCTGGAGGCCAGACCTCCCAAGCACGATGTCAGCCCTGCCCTGCCCTGCCCAGGCTGTCTGCGGGGACCTCAAATTAGGACAGCCACCTCCACTCCACTCGGATAACGGCAACGGGGCCCAATAACTGCAACGCCACCGGCCCTCAGACAGACTAAGCCCAAACCTGTTCCATCATCCACCAGCCATGTGGCCTTGACAAGTAAGTCACCACTGCGCATCAGCTTTGTCATGAGCCAAAGACACATCATCGCAGCCTTTCCGCTCGCGGCTGCTGGGAGAAGTAAAGGAGCGCACCTCCTCACGAGTGCCGCTGGCGGCAGCAGGCCCTGCGGGGTGAGCGCTCTGGGCCAGGCCTCACCCAACCCTCTAACGGACTCCCCACTGCTCCCACTTTGCAGATGAGGACAGTGTCTCCGAGAAGTCTGCCTGAGGTCACTCAGCAAGGGACAAGGCTGAGATGCAGAGTAAGCACCAGAACCCAAAGCCTATCCACGCCCCAAGCTCACAATCAGCCCTGCCGGCCTCTGTCTGCCGGGTCGGGGCGTGTGACAAGCTGCAGGTGGGCTGTCATCTCGCTGTCCCCCTTACCATCAAGGCCGGCGCCCCTGACAGGTTGCCACCAATTGCAGTGAAGTTAAAAGGTGAAATGGCTGCCACGAAGCCCTGGAGACAGGAGAGGTGGTGAGGCCGAGCCCGGGGCTTCCTGCAGCCCCCGCCACCACCCACCACCCCCTCCATCTGCGCGTGGTACCTCCAGCCCCCGGTACACCACGCGGTTGGTGCTGGGAGGCACGCTGATGGGCTGCTCCCCCTCCAGTTCCATTGCAAACTGGGCGTTGAATCGGAAGAAGTCGATGAGCTCAGCCGCAGCGTCGACCTCGGCTTGGATCACTGTCTTGCCCTGCAACACAGGGCTGGGCTCAGCGGCAACAGAAGAACCTCCTGGTGTGGTGGCCTTTTCCTCACGGCAAACACAGAGCCGGGCCCCCGTGGACCGGAAACCTGCGGAAGGCTGACCCAGCCTGAGCAGGGGACCGGCTGGATGACCTGGGCGGGTGTGGAGCTGTCATCCCACCTCTGTGCAGCAGAGGGCGCTCCCGGCACGGGAACAGGGGAGCAGGCGGGAGCAAATGGGCAGCCTGGATCTGGCTTCTGTAATCTGCCCCTAGGGAACCAGGTGGGTGGCACCCCAAGGTTCAGTTTCGGGAGTTGGTGAAATTGACCCTCTCCCCCTTGGCTCCTTTCCCAGCGCACTGTGTGGGCAGCAACACTCTCGCTGGCTACACATTCACTCAAGAATCTTCTCATGGGTTTCCGGAGCTCCCTGAAGACACCGGAAGCGGCAGACACAGACACACACAGACACACAAACACACAGATAGACAGACAGACACACACACACACACACACACACTAGCAGGAGAACACTTATGTCTGGAATGCTGTGGGACACAGTCTCAAAAAAACCAAAAAGACAAATGAAAACGTAAGAACTCAGCACACCCTGGTGCGACTGGAGCTGTGACTCCGAACAGCAAGCTCTGGGGAACAGCGCAGAATGAACCCTTGTGTCCCAGGAAGGTTCTGGAAGCATCAGGAGGAGGAGCCAGAAGGCTGGAGCAGTCGCTAAGAACTCACTCCAGTGAGGGGACACTGGGCAGTGGCAGAGGCAGAGAAGATGCCACAGGGTCCAGGGAGTCTCTTTAGTGACACCGTGGACAGGGCAGCCTGGCAGGGACACAGAGCAAGTGGCAGTGGGCAGAGGTTGGACAGGAGGCCTGGGTCAGGCTGAGGGTGTGGGACTCACCTCTCAGCGACGGAAGGACCTCGGGGACCTACAAGCCACGGACAACCTGCTCTGAGGGCGCCGGGGGCTGATGGACCCAGGAATCAGAGACTTCCTGGGGTCAGTCACTGCCGTCCAGAACAGGTGGCCCAGGGCAGAGACAGAGGAGGTAAAGAGGAGGGACAGGACTTGGCGCAGCATAGCCTGTCTGATTATTTCTGTCCCTCGTCCTGTCTCCAGGCCCTGTCCCTGCATACATCCCTGGGTCTCCAGTAGGACCCAGTGGCCAGAGGCTGCTGGCCAGCGTGTGCTAACAGAGGCATAGTGTGCGACTCACCTGGCCCACCATGGTCTTGGCAAGGATCTCGGCCCTGCGCGGCCCGCTCAGTATGTCTGCTGCCTTCAAGAAGACCTGGGCCCGGTCTGCGACAGGTTTCAGGTCCCATTCTTTCCTGGCAGCCAAGGCAGCCTCGATGGCCTTGTTGAGCAGGGCCTGATGGGAAAGGAAGTAGTGGTCAGGCTGCCTCTTGCAACAGAATGGCCCAGGGAAGGGGGTAGGGAGGGGGAGCGGGGAAGCCACTCTGCACGGGAAGACCCTGGTCCCCGGCCCGCAGCCCCTTGTCCCCAGAGCTGTGTATGGCCCGTCCCACGGCTGGCTGGGCAGCTCCCGGCTCAGACCACATCCTGGGGTCAGTCTGAGGCCCAAGTGACTGCCGGGCTGGCCAGCAGGTATTGCTCCAGTCTCTAAAGATCTAATCAAGGCCCCAACCTATCCCCGGGGCCCAGGGGCCCTGAACCCACTGCCCAGAGGCTCCAGGCATGAGGTCAGAACCGCAGTCTGAATCACACACGGGCTACTGACACACCAGGCACCAACTGCCCTCACCGCCACATGGCACGGCCCCCAGACCCTGCCGCAGGCCACCCCACCCCCTGCCTGGCTTTCATCGAGCTTCCAACTGCCGAGCTTTCCAGAGGACACTCACTCCCTAGACCAAAGTCTGCCCCACCGAGGGGGGCATGGCACACAGCCCAGCCCTGCCCAAGGCAGCACTCATCTGGCTGGAGTTCACCTTCACATGCCTGGGCCTGTCAGGCTGCCCGGAGAATCTACCCCTGAGCACCAGAGAGAAGCGGTGGCTGCAGTCCTCCCGCGCCAGCAGCGGGACTCACCTTGTCTGCGTAACAGAACTTGGCGACCTTACATCCGTGGTTAAATGGCTGGAAAGAGAGCAGAGTGGTCTCACTGCCAGGACGGAGGTGCCAGGACAGGTGGGGACGGGCCGAGCTCCGAGCTGCTGTCCAGGTAGGTCCTGGACACACTCACCCCTCTCACTTCCCCAAAGCCTTCTCCAGTGGCTCCCACACTGGCTCCTCCCGCCTGGAGGTCACTAAGCACCTCTGCACAGTGAGACACGAGCCCCGCATGGTGTTTTCACGAGATGCCCTCCCCGCGTGGTGTCTGGGTCACAGTCCAGGCGGGAGGCAGGGACCACAGACCACCATCTCTGAGGGAAAGTGTGGAGTCTGTGGGCAGACACGGGCAAATCCCAGCTCAGGGGCCTGCTGGCCCTGAGCCTTGCACAAGCTCACGGCCCCCTCTCCAGGGCTCCTGTCTGGGAAACAGGCACTGAACCCCACATGCGCAGCCTGGAGAGCAGGACCAGGAGGGATCATGGGTGGAAATTCTCTGGGCCAGGTACAGCACACGCTGGCCCCAGGGTCCATGCAGACAGAGCCAGATGAGAACCCCATTTGCAAAGGGGCCAACACTTCCCTCTCCTCAAATTACAGTCCGACTTTCCGGGCCACCTGCAGCAGCGTATGCCAAAGGTGGGCTCGGGGGCCCAGCCCTCTGCTCCCCACTTCCAGCGCCCCGTGGAATCCAGCAGGGAGAAGGGCAGATGCCGTGTGTGCCTCCACCGCCACTGCCACCTCACCCGTGGACAGGCACGCATGTGACTGGGTACACTGCCTTTAGCCTGCAAGTCTTGTGTGTCCACAGCACTCATGGGCTGGGAGGCAGGCACAGGCTCCGTGCTTCTCAGTCACCGGAGGGCCAGACCCAGGCGCCGGGAGACACGGCGTCCTCCTGGAGGACTTACCGACACCTGGTACCGCACGTCCGATGTCCACACCTCCTCATCGCCCACCACACATGGGATGGCTTCTGTCCGGCCCTGCAGATCCTTCAAGGCCTGGGGAGAAGGACCAGAGCGTGAATGAGCACTTCTGCCACTCTGCCTCTGGTCTAAAACCCTGAGGAGGGGTCTGCACATGGAGTAGCCCGGGCGGGACGTCACGGAGGAGGCCAGGACGGGCCGGGGGTCTCAGGAGGATGTGTGCGCCCCCACCTCACCAAGGAATTTCTCCTGCCTCAGTCTCCCTGCAGGACCGTCAGGCCTCCCTCACAGGGGCGGCGCTGCCTGGTCTCCCCAGCACCGGAAGATAAAACACTACACCTGAAACTTACACGAAATCCTGTGATTTGTTTAATTCCTGGTTATCAACTGGAAAATTACTTTAGTATAAAGCATCTGTGCACATGACCTCTGACCTGCCCTGAGAGGTCACCTCACTGCCCCCCGCTGCTGCAGGTTCAAGGGCTCCCAACCGCAGCCCGCCCAGCCCCACGCTGCCTCCCGGGGCTCAGGCAGGGGCAATTGGGCAAGGGCCACGGGTTCAGGGCCGTATCTCAGGGACCGTCTCCCTCCAAGCCTTGTACCCTGGGGTAACCCCACCTGGTTACCTTCTGAAGTGCTTCTCGCTCCGGGGTGCCCTTCGTGAACGCTAAGATGGGCTCGTTGGCCACCTGCAGGGATGAAGTGCGCTTCCACCGAAGGCTGGGCACAAGGACAGAACAAGGACAGGCAGGTCAGCAGTGGCCACTGCGGGCCCCCAGCGCCCCACTCTGCTGGGTGTCCCGGAATGGCCCAGAAGCCTGAAACCCAAAGCCAGAGCAAGGCCTGGGGGAGGGAACTGGCCTGGAGCCTAAGACCCCACAGTCCTGGTGCTGCCACTGTGTGCTGTTGGGTGTGTGACTCACCTCCTCTGAGCCTGTTTCTAAGGTGTCACATGAGAATCACCTCACCCAACCCACAGTCCACGTGCGCCCATGCAACACAGTGCAAGCGCTCTGTACACAGAGCTCCTCCTGCTTTATTTCCCACAATGCCACCTTCACCCCAAGTTACTTCTTTCTCCAAGCTGAAAAGGCAGCATGTTCCAGAGCCGAGTCTCAGAATGGGAACCGGCTAAGCTCCCCTGGCACAAGAGCTGCGCACCCCGGAGGCACAAGGGTGTCTAAGATGTGCACTGTGAACTTGAAAGCTTGCCCTGAGCCCTGTTCCCGGAGACCGGGAGGGCTGGTTTGGGGAATCAGTGTCTGGTTCTGGTAGGATGAAGAATTAAAAATGCGGCTTCATTTAAAAATGAAAAGGGCAGCTTTAGGATACAAGCCTAGTACTTTTGTTTTTGTTTGGTTTTTGTTTTTGCAACAGGGTCTCATAGTTCAGGCTGGCCTTAAACTCAGGGTAATCCTCCTGCCTCAGCCACCCCAGTGCTGGGATTACAGACTGCGTCCAGCCTTGTTTTTGTTTTTGAGACAGGGTCTTGCTATGCAGTCTGGGGTACCCTTGAACTTACTATGTAGTAGTTGGGGTAGCTGAGGCAGGAGGATCACTGTGAGTTTGAGGCCAGCCTAGGTTACATAGTGAGGCTTTTGTTTTGTTTTGTTTTGTTTTGTTTTGTTTTTGTTTTTTAAGACAGGAGCTCACTATGCAGTTCAGGCTGGCCTTGAACTCATCATGTAGCCCAGGCTGGCCTTGAACTCATAGTGATCCTCCTGCTTCAGCCTCCCTGTGCTGAGATTACAGGTATGTGCCACCACACCTGGCACATAGTAAGTTTAAAGCCAGTCTAAACTACTTATCAAGACCCTGTGTCAAAAAAAAAAAAAAAAAAGCAAAAAGACTACACAGATATCCACCGTAAACCACTCTTCCACCTGTAAACTAGGCCACCACCCAAAATACCTAAAGATTATCTTCTTGTCCATTGGCCATCCCTCCACCCACCTACTAGATCAAGACCAAAACTATAAGTTATCAAAGTCTACAGGTTGCCACTGCCAAAAACACATAAATATTCCCAGTTCCATACACTCCATTCTCAAGTGCACCCTAAAATATCTGCCTAATAAACCCTTCCCGGCCCCATTACTGATGTGTCCTGAAAATTTTTTCCAAAACAAGAGTCAGCAAACCTGCAAACTGGTTGTACAAAAGGGAGGGATAAGTCTCTCGGAACCATGAAGACCCAGCCAGCCTGGCAACAGTCCCTGGGGATGGAATTTTAAGAATTCCTTGCTTGAGGGCTGGGGATTTAGCTCAGTGGCAAAAGTGCCTGCCTGGCAAGCGCAAGGTCGTGAGTTCGGTTCCCGGTACCAGAAAAAAACCAAAAAAAAAAGAATTCCTTGCTTGAATCCACCCATCTCAGGCACTAGTGACCTCAGCCCCCAAACACATCTGGGGGATGCTAGGTGGGAGGGCTCCGGGGTCAGTCATTCCAGAGCTGAAGGCCCAGTTCTGCCACTTCCCAACCATGGACGTCCCTCTAGGCCTCAGCTTCCCCTGAGGGCCAAGGAGCACAAAGCCTGCCCAGAGCCATGGGGCACATGAGCCTGGACAAAGCCTCCCTCCTGGCCACCAGGACACCCATGGGCCTCAGCAGGGATGAGGGAACAGCAGCAGGCATGGGACACTTGGTGTTTCTTGGTGGCTATAGCAAGGGAGAACATGCAGGCCACAGGGACGCACAGGAAGCTCACGTAAGGCACCTTTAGAAAAACCTATTAGAGGATTTGGACTCCTGCTGGGTGCTGTGGAGGTTCAGGAAGTCAGATGCTGTCAGAAAGCAGGGACAATTCTGATTGGAAACAAAGTCCCTCGTTTAGCAAGAGAGAGCTGTCCGGTACTTTCTGGGTGGCACCGTGGTCTTGTTTTTGTTTGTGCTTGTTGGAGAAAATGATGAAGTGGACTTGGGCATCTCCTTCTATCATGACCCTGAGGCAGGAGATTAGGGCACTGCAGACTGGCTGGGAAGCAGCATGGCCTGTTCTTGACGAAAATCTCAGGACACATAAGCAGAACAGGCCCAAAGCCACGCACAGGGACTTCTCGTGACAACTCAAGCAGGTTTTAGATAGGACGACCCAGACCCAATGTCAGCCTGAGCAGGGGAGACACAAAAGGACAGAGGCCACTGAGTCCTTTGCCTCTGTTCTCTCGTGGCAGCTCTCGTCCTGCAGACTGCACTTACCTTTCTACTCTTACTCGGCCAAAACTCAGTCTGCATTGCCTGTTCCTCTGCCTGCCTGTAATAAATGTAAAACCTCACCACCTTTCGCACTTACCCTGACCAGTTCTTTGCTCAGGGCAGAAAGAACCTCAAAAGCAGCCCTAGGCGACTCCCGAGCCCCAAAACCCACTACCGGTCTCAGAGTGATGTTGGTATCTGTGAGCTTATGCCCAACAGGAGGACAAAGTCGCCTGGCTGGGAGAGTTGGGAGCCCCTTTTTTCTTTTCCAGGAGGAGTCTGGGGCTCAAAGGCCCAGACTGGGTGGCCGGGGGTGAGGACACAGGACAGGGACCACACACACAGGCCCCGAGTTCACTCTGCAAGGTCCAGCATCCAGCATCTGCTGAGTCTCTGGTGCAGTCCAGACCCCAGAGCCACGCACTGACCATGACAGCCGCTGACCTTGGGGAGGACATGGTCAGGAAATAAACATGCAGATTACATGAGCCGATTATGAATAATTGAGAGGGAGATGGGGCTGCTTCCTTGGACAGGAGGGCCTCTCAGGGGGGGTGACCTCTGACCCCAGGAGGTCTGGGAAGCCCAAGCAGTGCAGGTGTGCAGAAGGGTGGACAGGGTCCTTGGGGTTGAGGTGAGGGAGAGGCAGGGGGTCAGGCAAGGTCTCATGTGGACCCCATTCAATCCCTCCTGTCCCAGGCCTTGGCACTGCCCCTCACCCCACCACACCCAAAGGAGCCAGAGCCACATTTCTCAGCCCCACCCTTCCTCTTGCCAGAGGAAGCAAAGTAGGACTGGGACAAATCTAGGCTCAATCCAGCCCTCCATCCCACTAGCTATGACCATGAAGTCACCCCTAATCCTTTGTGAAATGGTGAGGCCCTGTCTTGGGGTTACTTAAAGCTAAAAATGAAATGCTAGCCAGGTGCAGTGGCACTCCAGGAGACTGAGGCAGGAGGCTCCCAATTCAAGCCCAGCCTGGGCAATTTGCAACGGAGGGAGAATCTGACTCAAAAAACAAAAAAAGGCAAAACACATGCGTACACTCCCAGGGAAGAATGCAGAGGTGCTCTGCAAGCCTCAACAGCCTCTCAGGAATCTGCCTCCTGGGGCCATCGGAAGGGTGGAGCTGGGATCTGAGCTGGGCCCTGCAGCTGGGCTGCAGCAAGTCAGACGCCACCATGTCACCTCCAGGTCAGAGGTAGGACCCTGAGTAACTAAGCCGTCCCAAACCGTCTCTCGGTCCCAGATCCCAGCACACAGGACAGGTGGGGAACTGACACCATGCCTGCTTGGTGACCTCGGCACACCTTTACCAACTCGAGGCCTGTCCCTCGCCTGAGGAATGCGGACAGGGATGTGAGCCTCACCACTCACGGTCACCATGGACAGCGCTTGCCTTTCCTCTCCCTCCAGCCCTGCCAAGCCTGTGAGGGCGAATTCCTTCCCCACGAACCCACAAACCCAGGATCACATCCCCAGGGGCGGTCTGGGGCTCCTCCACTGTGGGCATAAAGCTGGCACCAGAGTCCACCCTCAACTCAAAATGCAGCGGCACCCACCCTCCCCTAGGCCTTCCCAGGCAGTGCCAGAAACAGAAATCTGCAGGCCTTCCTGCCCTCTCCAGGCAGAGGCCCCACGTGACCTCAGGATCACGTGTCCTCAGGCTTTCTCCCTGCTGAAAAGCCTCCAGGCCCGAGCCCAGCCAGCTGTCCCTGTGTCCCTCGCGTGGCCAGGAGACCACAGACTCGTTCAAAGTTCAGCTCAGCCAGCTGCAGCCAGAAATAAGAAGTAACTCAGGGATCGGGGCAAACTCTGTTGTCGGTGCTGTTGTTGCTGCTGACAGGCCATTCTGATTTAACATGGGCACCCTTGCGTGAACGCGGGATGAAGTCACAAGGCTTGGGGCCTCTATCTAGGGAGACCTCGTGGGCAGGACTGTCTCCCTCGTTCATTTGATCATTCATTCACGCGGTCACCAAACACCCACACGGCTGCAAGGCAGAGATCACAGGCTCAGCGCAGCACCAGCCCACCCAGTTCTCAGTACCCATTTTCCGGAATGCAGATGTCTCTCAGCTCTCCATAAGGAGGCACAAGGAAGGGTCTACATCGGACTCAGTTTCCCTAACAATCTGGGGTGCCCCCTTCTGTTTCTCCAGAGGACCCCACAGCCAGAGCCCAAGACCTAGACCTGTCCCCACTCCTTGCAGGTTCAGAGGTTGAAGCTGCAAAGGCCACACAGAGTTTTCCTCCTGCCTAGGAGCGGTGCGCCGGCCCAGGCAACCCCAGAAAGCCAGAGAGCAAAGAGCGGGTGGGGGCCCTGGGCTCCCAGGCACCCCTTGGCCTCCATCCCATGCAAGGCACCTGATCAAAGGTGCCATCAACTTCTACCTGGGCTAAAGAAATGTCTACTCCTGCCTGGCCACCTCCAAGCCACTCTAAACCACCACCAAAGTGATATAGCTGGCCTTGCTTAAGACGAGGTGCTTCTGAGGGCCCCAGCGATTTTCTCGTCCTACAAACA